CTAGGCTGAAGGCATATATTTTAACTGAAATCTTGAAAATAATACAGAGTGACGCAGGGAAGCGGGAAGTTTTGAAATAACATAATCTGCCCGAATTAAACACAGGAAAAACATCCTTTATTTACGAAAATGCATATAGGTAGAGCGAGGCAGCTCTGCCCTGGCTATTGGCCTTTCAGATTAGCGCCGCCCCACACAAAATTCAATCTACCATGTGGTGACCCCACAGAGCAAGGACAGACAAGGCACGGTCGTGCCGAGCCTTACTCTGTCACGAGAACCCTCAGGCCTTCTGTGAAGTCTGTTTTTACACCCCGTGGTTGAGACTGCCTAGGTACAGATCCTAACCAGTACTCATATAAGTATACAGTATGCCATTTATGTTTTCATTACAAAATGTCACAAACTATCTCTTTACTTCTTAAAGATGACATCAGAAAGATGTGCTCCCTTCGGCGTTCCCATATTAATAAAGTGCTACAGAAATTCCGGAATGCTCGGAATGGAATGGCAGTAATTTCGTCTTCAACCTTCTGTTTCAGTTCATGGATAGTTGCGGGATGTTTGAGGTACACTTTGCCTTTAAGATGTCCTCGCAGAAAGAAATCCCATACCCTAAGATCAGGGGATCTCTCAGGCCATGGAATGTCATCGTTACGTGAAATGACGCGCCTTCCAGACAATACATCGATTGTGGAGCAGTATGTGACGTGGCTCTCCTGCTGAAATTACATGTTTTCTATGTTAAGATTTAGATCGTGCAGTCTCGGTGTAAAGAATATTTCAAGCATATCAACATACCGAACGGATGTCACTGTTAATGCAATGTTATCCTCACATTAAAAAAAGGAAGGGTTAATGGCACATGGACATGACACAATACACCGTACTGGGCAACCTTGGGCGCTCGTGAAGCTCACAAGGATTTTGTGCTCAGTAACCAAAATACTGTTTGTTAACGTATCCGTTAAGGTGGAAAAGGTCTTCGTCTGACATCCATATGTTGTTAAGAAAAGAGGCGTCCTTATTAGTTTTTGCCAACGATCGTTCACTATACTCTCTACGCGACACAGGGTCTCGTGGATGTACTTGCTACACAATCTATAACTTATAGGGGTGGAACTTTAATTCGTGCATTGTTCTTTGTACGCTTCGTCCCCAGTCTCTAGCGCAGATGCATGTCGTCGAGCGGAGCGGCGATGGCAATCGAACATATGCAATGTTCTCGGGGCATGCCACGTGAAAGCTTCTTTTTCAATCCTTAAACAGTTTCTTCAAAAACAGATGGGACACGTCCATCGTCCATGACGTCCTAGCTGTTAGATGCTGTTGAAAGAACACCAGAAGGAAAGTTCTTTACCATCCCTTACCTTAGGCAGACACTAGCATGAACCCCCCCCCCCCCCCCCCCCAACCCCCCCTCCCCCCCGCCCCCCCCCCCCCCCCCCCCCCCCCCCCCCCCCCCCCCCCCCAGTTTTGCCATAAATAATCGAAAATATGTCGCATAATTAAAAATAATGATTTTTGATTACTTAATATTTATAATGACTTGTTAATTATATAATAGACTCTATTAGTGAAATAGAATATTTTCGCAATATTTTATTGCATCTAACGCACTTTTTATGACAAATAACAAGGTAAGGTACTTTCTTCTCCAGAATTTGATGCGGCTTTAAAGATTCAAATAAATAAATGATGCCCATACACTATTTCTATCTGCTTCATATAAGACTGATGATCTATATGCAGATCATAGAATATATTAAAAAATTAATCCTTTTAGTTTTAGGTACCGAAAAGTAAGATAATTAAATAAAATGATGGTAAAAGCGCAGAATAGCCCGTATCAACAAAGTTCAGTAGGAGGAGCTGTGTGACGCCCATAAATGGGTGGGACTAAGCTTATGACGTCACAATGTAGTCTCGCATTTACACTACGTGTGCTTTCTATTTTCTCTTAAAAATAACAATAATAAATTGTTTATTATTGTAAATTAATATCAAATTCTTTACTTTTAATTTACATTTATAACATTTAAGCTTAGGCGTTACTGATAATAAGTATAATAAATTGTTTATATTTAAAATTACCATGATACAGTGAGCGAATTCTACCAATTATTAAAACGATAAACAACGTCGCAGTCTCTAATACTTGTAGAGCTTCAATATTTTCAAAGATTTTTATTAAATTATTATTATTATTTTATTAATTTTTTTATTTATACAAATAAAATATTTTTTTAAAATTTAAATTCATATTGTGGAACATTTCAATTTTATCATTTTTACAAATTACCTTCTTGCTACGTAACGACATAATTCCTTACATACCAATAATTAGACAATTTTCATTATTTCTAAAAATTTTAAACTTTACATTAATAAAAAGAAGAATATTTTTTATTGCATATGAACATCATTACACAGCTTTCATATCAGTTTCTAAAATTCCTAAATCACGCCATATTCTGTGTAGGCATGCTAGAATTCTACGCATTAATAAATAAAAAAATCTAATTTCTCAGAATGAAAGAAAATAATATAATAAAATAAATACTACAAACTTGGAACACTAAGCAATGCTTCACATACGCACACACACACATATTATCAATGAACTGATATTATCAAGTGCAATTACGATACCAAACACTACGTATTAAAATATGATGTAAACGTTACTTCAAGTTAACAATTTTGCTATTGTTGAGTAGATCGTCGGGCTATCGATATATGTCGTAAGTCGGAAAGCGTTATAAACATTGCGCACCACATTGGCTTTGCCCATGTACACATCGATCTATTTTCACTTAAAAAATCCCAGAATTGCACAAACTCGGCATTGCGCACCACACTGGCTTTGCCCATGTGCACATCGATCTATTTTCACTTAAAAAAAATCCCAGTATTGCACAAACTCGGCATCGCGCACAGCATTGTCTTTGCCCATGTGCACATCGATCAATTTTCACTTAAAAAAACATCTCAGAGTTGCACAAACTCGGCATTGCGCAGCACTCAAAATCGTCTATACGTCTCAAAACCGTCTCTCTACTAGTTTCATATTTGTTCCACAAATTGGGCACTTATACGATATTGCAATCAAACTTTTCTCCATACACCACTCAATAACGCTCTTTTTGCCTCTTCGCTCCAACTGATTAAAAAAATCCAGATTCAGATACTCATCCATTCTGCAGTAAGCACCGATTTTGACACACTCATCAATAATCAAAACATTCTTTAAGCAAAAGAATTCTTTTCTGTATTTTCAGAACTTACTGTTATAATTTTTCATGCATTCAATATTTTCAATCGTTAGGTAATGATCGTTTTCAATCGTTTGGTATCTTAATAATACATTTCTCAGAGATAATTCGTTGCGTTAAATGCTAACACTACCACACACCCACACAAAAGTAGATTTATAATTTAAAAAAATCTCGCGCAGAACATTATAAACCTACCATTTCAACTCAGTTAAAACTTTATTTAAGTTTTCTTTAAATACGAAGCTATAGAATACTTATAACTTGTTTTTAAGGAAAGGCGTAACTTATATTACGTCATAAAAAGGCGTGTAAGCATAAGAGAAGTAAACACAGCATCGACTGATGCAGCCTATTCTGCGATTTAGCCAAAATGATTAACAGATTAAAACAGTAAGATGACTCATGTATACCATATAATTAAAAACGGTAAGCTGTAAAATTAATTAAACAAAATGAAAAAAAAAATGTGAAGCTTCCCTTTTTCTTTCTTTATTAGCCGCTTAAAATAGTTATAAAATAAGAAAAAAATGCATACTGATCTTAATAATCCAGTTAATGGCATTTCACTGCTCCAACTAGTAATAAATAATAATTGAAATACATTTTGTTTTATTGTTTTTAAATCGCTTAGTTTATTGTTTTTAAATGCTTAATTTGTTAATTAGTAACAGAATAAATCTGAGGAAAAATTTAAACATCTTAGCTTTGCTGAACAACATATTGCCATGCGAAAGATAAAAATATTTTAGTTTGGACTGTGGCAATACCTTTCTTTTAAATTGCTGAGAATGTTGATTAACTGCGAACGACAAATATATTGCGTTTTGCCGAATAGTAACACATTTGTTTTAAATCGCTGAATTTCTTGATTAAATTTTAAACATAAATAAATTGCAACACATTACTATTTAAACACATTGTAACACATTGCATTTTAAATCGCGAAATTTTTAATCAAAAGTTAATTAAATTCGCGTAAAATATATAATAAATAAATACATAAATAAAATTCGAAATTTAAAATTGCAGTTTCGAGGTGCATACGTTCCTGTGGAGGACCAGGAGTTCTCAAAATTTGGTGGTTCTACGTGCCGCTGTTTTCCCACAATACGAAAAAAATACAACATTCAAATTTTTCATTTAATAATAGTGATTAAATAAAAAATTACTGGAAAATTGAACTATTCGTATCTATTATGAATGCTAACGTAAACATACATAACTCCAATTTCTTGTTAGAAAGGTTCTACAAATCTATGTTGTTTAAAATTTTTGTAACAGTGAGAACATTTAAATAATTCTTATCTTTATCTGTGTAACTTCGTCAAAACATCTAAGGTGAGATTCTGTTGTAATACCACTGTTAAAAAGAATCGCTGGTGAAGAAAATAAATATAAGTGAATTTTAAATGATGAAAGAATTTAAAAAAATAAAACATATGTTTCTTAAAAAAAGTACCTTTAGCTCTGTTTTCATTTTTGCTGTGTTTGAATTATGTAATTAAAATTAATAATACAAATACTGTCTCACAGGGTGTAAAGTTGTATAAAACACACTGAGTCTTAATTTTTAATAAATAAAAATCAGACAGTAAAAATGAAGATACCGAAGGAAAATACACGAAGAGAAATAAAATACGGCAGTTATAGTTATAGGAACATTTCTTGGGTAAACCAAAACTTAATTTTAAATTTTATGACTCACAATAATAATACACTCACCTTTATATTTACTTAATCAGAGCCCATCGAATATCCGCTGAGAAAAAGACACCGTATGATAAAAAGCTTACAGTTTCAAATCGAAGGAATGCTAGTAATGGCATGTCACACCTGTTGAGTCATTCTACGCTAGCGCCATCTACCTATAATGAACAAGGTAAATGTTCTGTGAATGAATGACGGCCATTCATTTATGACGTAAATCGCTATAGAAAACGAGAACAGAATACTAAATGTGCGTAAATTTGTTGCGTAGTATTTCTGCTTAATAATTAGAGGAGTGCAATGATGTTGCAAGTCTTTAATTTAAGAATAAAATGAAAGCATTTTTAAAGATGAAATCGAATAAATCGTTACTTTGAAATCAAACAGTTGGATTAGTTCTATAAAAATGTGAGACAAAAATAATGAAACAATCCATTGTAAAGACAGACATAAAAGCGATTTACGCAGATCCCGCTTCTTTAGGAGGGAAGGGAGGCCCAGAGGCTAAATTTTTAAGAAATTTTAAAAGCCAATTTATATACCTTATTAAGATACTGTTTATAATAAAATGAAATGACATTTTACGTTCTCCGAGCATTACGGAATTAGCCCTGAAATTTCAGAGCTCCTCAAAATGTCACGAATAAGTGGTATTTTCGCAGTTTTAATTAAAAAACTACTGTCTCATATTGTACCTTGATTTCCTTTCCTCCAATATATACATTCAAACCGAAATCGGGTACATTAAAAGCTGGCAGAAATTTTCATGTATAATGAATAAGGAGGCCATGTATAATGAAATTTCATGTATAATGAAAATTTCTTCTATACGAAATTTTCCGTTCATAATGCTCAGGGGGGGGGTAATGCTAAAGAATTTTAAAAGCCAGTTTTAATACCTTATTTTACTGTTTTTACCAAACTAAATGAAATGAGATTTTACGTCATATTTATGCTAAAGATATTTTTAAAGCCAATTTTTAGAACTTATTATAACACTGTTTTTACCAAACTGAATGAAGTGAGATTTCACGTTATTTAATAGATTTTTATTAATTTTTATGATAAATGAAAAAAAAGCAGCATTTTTAAAAATTTTTGCAATTTATCACTAGATTTTTTAAATCTTTAAAATTATAGCAGTCCTTCAGTATACATCATTAATTCGGAATATTTAGGTGTGCTTCCCCTAGACGGTGTTATCTGAGAGGTGTCGTCGCAAATGCGGTCAAAAAAGGGAGAATGACGTTAATTACGAAAGGAAAAGTAAACGGGCGAGTTTAGAGGTCATAAGAGGAGATATATTGTAAAAGAACGATGTTTCTAGGTCTCGTTTAGTATCAATATATCAGGGGAAAAAATATAATGGAGTAAAAGAGCTCTGAGCTCTCATCTGTTCTTTATTGTAAGTTAGTAGTTACCAAAATGTGTGTATCGATGTACATGGTACCAGAATGGAGACAAATTATATAGGACGCGACAAATTTTGAAGTGCTCTTTCTCTTTCATATATTACTAAACAGTTTAATAACATTAGTATACACTTTTTTGATTATTAATAACATATATCTAATTATAATTTCGAATTAAATTATTCATCTCAGATGATTTTATTGCTTATATCTATTTGTTTATTAATTTTTTATTATTACATTATTTTCGTTTAGCAGTTTCTTTTTTCCTCCCTTAGAAATATATACTTGTAAATTATAAGACAGAAAGCTTGGGAAGCATTGTTATAAATAAATAATCAGATCCAGTTCCAGTTAAACGGCATTAATTAGCACTAATTGTTTATGAAAAGTATCCTTAGTTTTTATACTTAATCATCTTAAGAAATAAGGAGATTTTGTGTCGTCATTTTGTTAAATCTGTCAAAGCATAGTAAGGCTAGCTGACAAAGGCATGCTTTCGTGAAGAATTATCGGGGGAAAATAGGCTCATATTTACATTACACTTAAGGAAAACCACGAAAATGCTTATACACAGTGCTATGCTGTAGGGAGACTTGTGGAATCCGTTTCGCCTCTAATTTCGAAATCCCCCTTTTTGTTTTTTGCTTAGTTTATCTATTCAAAGAAAAATACCACTGAACTTCCTACGTTAGTCTGAACATCGATGAACAATATTTCTGTGAAAAGGAGGGCTTTCTGACTGTACAATCTATTTTACATTTAGCGAGCTTGTGCCGAATAAATTTATTCGCTATTCTGTATAGTTTCTGAAATTTTTGTAATGCTGATACTTAAAAAAAAAATTAAAATTAAATTAAAATTTAATTTTAATTTTTTAACGATATTTTCTTGTTTATTCACAAGTATTTATATTTTCGGTTTTTCTAAAAAGTGAAAACATTTAGTTATATTCTGATACTTTGTTTTCATAAGGTTTTCATAAGTCCCTTTGTTAAAATTTTCATAGATCACTGCGGCTTAACAGCTAGCCCATTCTCCCGATTTGAAACTGAGAATAAATTACCAAGTTCATCATTCATTGTTCTTACCGACTTGAATACAGTGAGTCTGAGTAAATAGGGAAATATCTTTTATAACTATAAAAAAGGCGATAAACGCATTTCTAAATAATAATTTTAAAATATAATTTTGTGGCTGTTTGAAGCTTCTTTTAAAAGATTTATTAGTCATAAATATATATATTGCAAATATCGAATGGAATAACATATATGTATCTGTAATTACGGAATAAGTATTTCTTATGTATGAAATAAGGCTTGAAAAAATATTTAAATAGTATACTTAAATGTTTCTTCTTCAAATAAATATCAGAATTTACTGACTACCAGCTTCTCACCGACTGTCGGAATCTATTCTCATCAATAAATGATAACATCCTGGGTGCAAGCGTACATAAAATACACATACACACGCACACATGTAATATACATAATTTATAATTTCCGAATTAAAATTAATGAAGTATTTACATGGCATTAGAAAATTAACCAAAAAGCAGCCACCCAGTATTTTTAATCTGAAAAACGGTCGTTAGCCATAAAAAGGTCGGAAGCCATTTTAGTTAAAACAATTTCTCAGATATTCAAATACTTCGTAGTGATATAACATGGCATTCGAAATACAAAAATCAATATTTACGATCATATTCATTGATGTAACAAATATGTCCAGTAAGAAATAAAAGGATAAAAGAAAATTCTGAAAGGGTTCAGATGGGTTCAGATTTTAAAGGTCGCCCAAAAGGATTAAGGTTTTTTTACTTTCTCGCTGGACTCGCAGTGTACCAGTCTGCTCTAGCATTCATTCCTGTAAACCCACCTTTTTTAGCTTTATTTATTAAGCATCGATTTCTTCACTTACAGTTAGTTCAACAACAAAATCACAACTTCGCATACAGTTAGTTCAACAGCATAACAGTTCGCATACAGTTAGTTCTTTACTCCGCATACAGTTAGTTCAACAACAAAATTACAAAATTTTTAAAAGCTGCGTAACAGCATGTGTTTAGAATTCCAGATACAGTGCTAAGTGTTGACATAGTTTTTAATATTTTTTTCAATCTTTTCTCAAGTTCATCATATCAATATTCTGTTTTCTTAGTAAGATGGAAAAAAATTTTTTCTTAACTTTGTATTATTATCATTTTATATGTTAACCTTATTTATTGACTATCACGTTTTTCGGACTTAAGCCGCTTAAAACTCAGTTCAACAGCAAAATCACAAAAGATTTAAAAACAGCATATCCTCAGAATTCCCGACAGATAATATCGCTCCCTGGATATAAAACTAACAAAATAGCAGTTTATTCTGTAGTGTTGCCATTGTTTGCTTTCAGATCGTTGAGCTTGTTAATAAAAAAAATCATTAATGTTTTACAAAATATGAAATAAATAACTACATCAGTTCGGAATTCAAAATTCCGACTTCTAATATTCGGGCATTATTCAAAATATTATTACGGCTCTAGGTACCGTAATTTTTTCACAATGCGTAATTTTTTTCACAAGACTATACAAATGGGCATGCAAAAAATTCACTGTTTAATTTCTTTAAAAATAATACAGGGCAATAATATTTGGTGACAATAACATGAAAGGAGACTGAGAAACAAAAATTTCATTAATCATTGAGCTTTTTTTTTTTTTTTTTTTTTTTTTTTTTTTTTTAAATTTGAGGGACGGCAATTTTAAGAAAGTACGCTGGCATCCAATGGCCTAGGAACGGCCCAGACTACAAATTCATTAAATGACAAGTTTATGTACAGACAGAGGTTACAGAAGTAAATTGTACTACGCTGTGATTGGACAGAGTATAGAAGACCTATATATTACAGTTTTTATAGTCTCTCACACCGAAGGCGATCTGGAGAGGCCAAAACCTCAAGGACAACTTTACACGATATTAAGCATTTAGCGATCACACAGCCCGAGACAGACTTGACAGTACCCTTACAGCAGAGGCCTACCTAAGGTTTTCAGCGTCCCGGGACACTATCACATTAGCTGTTTGTTGCCGGGACAAAACGTTTGTAGCAACAGTTCTGAGAAACGGCCTTTGGCGAAATAGGGTTACCATCTTCACTTGGCAAACAGGCTGAAAGCCAAACAAGAATCAGTTATCGCTCAGATTGGCGAAAGTGATGTTTCCTTTCAAGTCACATTCGCTTCTTCGTATTGTTTTGTATCGCTCACACGCTTTTCGTTTTAAACTTTATTGTTAGTAATGGAAGATAACAGAAAGGTGATTGCTATCAAGTTAATCACTTTGATCTCCACTCTGGCACTTCATGTAACAGATAAATACACTTCTGGTTATAGCAATCAATTACATCAGTAATAGCCAAATTCTGTATACACTAAGAATAGTTTAAAAACATGTGCTGGATAAGTCTATTTATCACACATCGCTTATGTGTATTTTCTGTTGTCTGCATTCATATGAAAATTTGATGGCTCACTGGAAAATTTGTGACCTGGTGAAAGCATTTTTCTGACTAACTTTTATGGCTCATAATTACTGTTCTTCCATTCAAATGACAAAAATCTATATGGCTGATATTTACTCCTCACAGCCAGCAGATACTATTCAGCAAAATGAAGATCAAATAAAGCATATGAATACAAGAGCAATCAACATGTGCGGTTGTTACTGTCCC